AGCTTACGAGCTTTCTAACACCTCAGGTCTCCTTTGCTGTAAGTAGCTCACATGATTGAGTTTTAAGCTCTGTGATTGGCTGGTTTCAGTTGAAATGTATAAACGTTTGAATTAAACCTGATTTTTAGCTCTGATTGGGTCGCCTCCAGCAAATTTGAGAATCAGGATGATTTCTGTCAAATCGGTTGTTGTTGATGTTCAGTTGGAGGTTGTTGCATTTTAACAGAGTGGAGAATCTTCTAGAGAAATGATCAGCAGCCACTAAACATGTAAATAGGTCAAAGTCAGAAAGCGGAAATATAGTTTTTAGTGGCAGCAACTCAATGAAACAACAAAAGTGAAGCCTGAATAATGCTGACAGTAGAGTTTATTAGCTGTCAACTATTGAATCAATTACCATTGATTTGACCATTTTTTAAGATAAATAATTCTGATTGCAGCTTTTTAAAAGTGAATATTTTCTGGTTTCTTTCCTCCTCTATGACAGTAAACTGAACATCTTTGTGTTGAGGACGAAACCATTTTATGACCAAAGCAGATAACTCAGAGATTCATTGAAGCTAAAAATAAAGATCAATTGTGACACTAAACCACATTATTACTGCCAGTAAACCAAAGTAAACCACATCATGGTCTGATGAAGGCTTTCTGCTTTGTGAAAACTATCCATCAGATTTACTTTGAACTCTGAAAAACATCAAATTTCATATCAGATTTTTTTATGTTTAATCTGAAAATGTGTCTAAAAACAGACGGAACAAGTTGCTTCTTGCCTCTAATGGTCAGATTGAAGTGATGTTTGTCGTCGTTGAACCACCCGGGTATTTCCACTCTGCATCCATAGCGTCCAGCGTCGTCCTCTGTGAGTTTCATTATCGTCATAGAAACGTCGCCATCGTCCAGTCGTCCAGTCAGCTGGTACCTGCTGGAAACTCGGCTCTCTTCTTTCACTTTATATCCATCCGTGGAGACGAGCTGGTTGCCGCAGCCCCTGCTTGGTATGTCTCCTCGAATCCAGCAAACGTACAGAGCTCCGTAGTATTTTATGTCATATTTACAGGTGAGAGTGACGTTCTCACCTGTTTGACCCTCAACACTGGAGCTGAAACATTCAGAGACTGAGGACAGAAAGACAAGAAGGTTTTTCAGATAAAATCCAAACTCTTAAATCTCAGCTTCAGTCCAACGTGTCCCATAGAATCAGTATTTTTAACATACTGGCTGATTTTTATTAGTCATGAGTCATTAAAAAAAACAAAAAAACAATCAGTTTCTCCAACCTGACCTCCTCAGAATCAGCTGATTATTTATCTGCAACAACTTCAGCGTATTTATTGAAGCAAAGTTTTACCTTCATGCTATGAATATGTTCAGTTACAGGCCTTTGAAGTACATAGAGGTGGAACTATACACTTTTTAAAAATTTGTCTTAGTTCTTCCATCATTTCTGAGCCTCAAAACTTCATCAGTTCAGCAGATAAACACACGATACGTTCAGGACAAAAGAAACACACATTGGAGTTCTGCAATAAATCAGTTTTACATCCATCCAGGTGTCACAATATAAACACTGAATCTGTTTTGTGTTCATTTTTTTCATTCAAAGTTCATAGCATGTGTGATGATGGTTGGTCAGAACAAGTTCTAGACAATAAAAAGATCATTTTTGCCTTGATGATGCTGCCACCACCATGCTTCAAAGTGGGCATGGTGTGTTTGTAATGATGTGCATTCTGGGGCAAATGTCAAGGCTCATATCAACATATGTGATGGTGGTCAGAACAAGTTCTAGACAATAAAAAGATCATTTTTGCCTTGATGATGCTGCCACCACCATGCTTCAAAGTGGGCATGGTGTGTTTGTAATGATGTGCATTCTGGGGCAAATGTCAAGGCTCATATCAACATATGTGATGGTGGTCAGAACAAGTTCTAGACAATGAAAGGTCTCATTTATACCTACAGTGGACACCAGGATCATCTTCTGGATAAGATTCCTTCTGTGTCAAAACCGTTTTCTAATATTTTAGCTCTTGTGAATGTAGCTTCAGTCTGTGAAATGGAGACACAACATTTGTGTTTGCAAGTTTTTATATATTAGTTTGGACAAATCCAATTATATTCCCAGATTGACTGCATGGCTCCAGCTAAGTCTATGATCATGGTGACCAGTTGGGAAAACATTATTTTAACCAGTAAACAGAATCTCAGTGTTTACATTTTGCTAGTGTCAAAGAAGGCCGATATTAGAATTAAACAGAAGGACATTTCAACCCACCACTACGTCAGTTTAGGGTCTGTAATGCTGAAATATTGATATTATGAAGGTAAACCTTTGCATGGCTTCAGTAAATATACTAAAGTTACTGCAGATTTTAAAAATTCAGCTAGTTCTGAGGAAGTCTGGAGGGATTTTTACAGGTTTGGTTGAGTTTAAATGTTAGCGTTTGAGCTCAGAGTCGAAAGTCCAACCAAACAAGAAACTTGAGAAAAGACATTTTCCTACTAGACGAACTTTTGGCATCTCCTAAAGAGTCTTTTTTCCAGCCCAACCTGAAAATCAACAGCTCCAAAATGACTAAAACTGACTATAAAAATAGAGAATACATTTTTTATCCAGTTCAGTTAGCTGGGTGTTTCATTTACTCAAGCATATCACACATTTTGGTTCAAAAATAACTGGAAAACGTTTTCTGTCAAATACGATGACACAGATTTATTGCGTTTACTATTCTGAGCAGGAAAAACCTCCTGACTCCCCCTCATTTTATTTCTCTTTAATCAGCACTTTTTTTTCTCTCTCTGTTCTTTGGCTCAGTTTTTTCCTCACAGATCTGTTTTCTGGTTCCTGTTTCTGCTGCTGCAAGTCAAGTTTCACAAGGCGACGATAAATTCTGAAGATCTGATAATGTAAGCGATATGAAACCCACAACATCACACTTCAGCGGACACATAATCGCTTTCACCAGGTCAGTTGTGTGTCTGCAGCTGCAGCTGTTGTCGCTTCGTTCTCCGTTACTGTGACACTTTGACACATAAGATCCTCTCGCTTAGATGTAAATATAAGTGGAATAAACGAGTGTCTGTCAGCCAGCAGCACATCGAGCTGAATTCAAAAGGAAAAGGTGCAAAACAAGACGCAAAAAAAAAGTCTTTATCAGTGTAAAGTATTCATGTTTGTATCAGTATTATTATTACATATCAGTGACAGTTGTGGCTGTTTTTCTTGATTTAAACAATTTCACACACGAGAGGGGAAAATTTAACCCAGAAAGGAGACAAACAAGAAGAAAAAGACAGAATGAAATGATAAAAGTTTTTTAAAAAAAGGGCTTTTTAAAAGAGAAAGTACCTGTGAGGAGAACGAGCAGCAGCAGCACGATCTTCATGACGAACGCTGATCAACTGACAGCGAGTCTCCACAGCTGCTGAAAAAGTAAAAACCACAAGTCGTCAGAGGGAGGATCTGCAGAACCAAACACCAGCAGGAGGAGGAAACTTTAAAGTGTTCACTTAGTGTTGGTGTGAAACTGTGGTGTAAGTTATAGCTGACCCACAGGAGGAAGAAACCACCAAATACAGATAATATCTAGACTGGACATGTGTCGCAGATATCTGGAATTTAAGTAGATTTCTCATTACAGCAACATCTGCATGTAGTATGAGTTCCAGATGTCTACACTTTTATTCTGACTAGTTATAAGTCCAACTCAACATATCTTTTATCCTCTCATCTATACTGTCCTTTTGAGACTTTTAAATTAAGTTTAAATGAGTCAGAATGATGTTGATTTCTCAGACTGGAACTCTGACCAGTCCAAATACACATCAGTATCTTGAATTAGAGTTCTGACTCGATGAAATCCTTCGTTTTAAACATACTACGACGCTTAAAACACACGTCAAGTAGTTTTACGGCCATGTCAGAGCAGACCGACATTCTGCTATATTTGGACCACCAGGCTGTGATGATCAGTTCCTGCCCCCTTCAGGAACAAAACTCTGTCTGCACCTGAGAATCAACACAGTTATGTCGCCCTGTCTTACTCAACAACCGCTGCAATCAGAAAGAACACCCAAAGTTCCACTATAAATACCTTAGCAAGCTTCTAACAACACTGTAGTGATGCTAAATGAGTTTATATTAAAGGTCTGATGAAAATCTCATTTTTAGGTCCAGATAAATAAGAAATAAGGTTTCATATTTGAGTCTATGTGGAAACAGGAAAACTAGATTGTGGATAATATTATCACAAGTATTTCCTGCTTCTATTATTTAGTTGTAATTACAAATCTTTCGCTCACACTCTACTGGCATGTCGGCTACTGTTAAGGATGAAGTCACATTATGACAGAATGCACTACGATTTCAAAATGAGGGAACTATTCGGGTAAGTCATGCCACCATGTTGGCCAGATGGTTTTTCTGGTCAGCACATGATTTGATTTCCTGTTTTCAGCATTTTGTATCAGCTGCTTCCTGCATCTGAAACCCCAGACTCTGAGTTTCACTTCAATAATTTGAAGGTTCAGAGGCTGAAAGAGGACAGCTGAGCTCCTCCCTGCAAACAATATCTACAACTTGGACTCCTGCAAACAAATATATAAATATCTAGCAAATATTTTGAAAGTTCAGGGCAACCACAAAGACAATGAAGTAAAATGTTGCTGTCTATAGTTGATTTGAATGTAACCCAGAGAAGAGTCTGTTGAAGCCTGCTGGCTGCAGTACCATTTCTGACCACAACATGTAGCTTTATAGATTCCTGGCGCTGTTTCAAAGTTTTGACAAACAATAAAAAAAGATATAAATAAATACAAATGCACATCTTGTTTATACATTTTTAATTTTGTTGCTACTATTTCATTCTTGAAGTCTTTCACACCTAAATAAAATGAGGAATGCTTAAAGCTTCACTATAACGTCCCAGCTAATATTGAACAGAGTAAAATAAATATATTCTAGAAGTTTTATCCTATTTTTGAAAAATAAAATTCCGCCCTTGAACATAAACAGAAAGAAAGATAAGAAATACATAAATTAACTGATATTTAATCAATTTAGAAATAATTGCTGATAATCAATGATTTACCTTTTTGTGCCTTTTTATTTGGATATTTATTAATTAATCAATCAGAGCTCTTTAAGCTATATATTAATGCTCTATATTAATATTCTGCTCTGACATTTAGTTAATTTAAAAAAAATAGAAAATCTCAAAATCAAAACAAGCTTCACTCCCCGTCGGGGAATCGAACCCCGGTCTTCCGCGTGACAGGCGGAGATACTGTCCACTATACTAACGAGGAAGTTGCAAGCTGTCATGTGACCACATTGAGCCAATAGCAGCTTCTCTATGACGGTCCCCATCACTATGTCATATATTTTTGGCCACTAATAAGATTTGGGGGGCGCTGTCTACATCGCTTTGGATGAAAACAGCAGCTGGAGGAAGTTGTTCACCCCGTTCACTCTGTTTATCACCCTGGAGGCGATAAACTCATACTGCAAATGATGCACATTTTCCTTCTTGTTTTGCACTTAGATGCCAAACTGCATTTAGTTGTCTTAATGCATGTACTCAATG